CTTGTAAGTCAGAGGTAATTGTTCACAGTTCCCCCCTGCTGCTCTTAATATATACCCAACACAAACTTGATCCTTGCCAGGACGTGGGTACAAAAATGTCAGGAGAACACATGTTGCTTACACATGAGTGAGTAACAGCTGGAATGTGGAGTGTGCATCATAAACGTGCTGCAAACTCCTGCATGGCAAGCAGCCCCATGTTCTTCCTGGGGAAGAAACACCCCAGGCCTCCACAGCAGTAAAATATCCAACTGGGCTTGGGAGTTTTGGACACGGGACGGCTTAAAATTGATGAACATGGTACCATGTTCTCCAGATAAGGTTCAGTGATAACAGTCTTCCATGAAATGCAACATATCCCAGTACACAGCTTACAGTTCAAGAAAGAATAAGACTCTACAACTCAAACATCTCTATGTGCTCTCTTGTTTATAATGTTTGATGGCAGCAGCCATAAATTTGTGAGGTGCTCTGTCTGGGCCTTTATTGTTAGGAAGCATGAAGAACTGAACTAAATTGAAAAGACTCAGGCTAAAAAAGTGGGGAGGGGGAGGAAAACTCCTTTTAACTTGTGTCCAGTAGAAAAGGGTAAGATGAGCCAGGGTAGTTAACATCTCAGCAATATGATCAGAAGACCAAGAGCTGGGGAGAGCTAAGCGAACAACTATTTTAAACAGACAGCAGATTTTCTTTGCACTGCTAAATTGTCATGTGAAATTAAAAAAAGCAAGTATTAGCTTTTCTTGCTAGTTAGTGACTGACTGGATGTTTTGGGCTATGGTAATCTTTTAAAAAGAAGTTTTTCTGTAAAACTACGAGACTGACATCCAAATGTTGTGGAACTTGAAGTCTTCCTGTCCAGCGCTGTCCTTTGACAGCGCTGGAGTCCTAGTATGCTAAAAGCTTGGTCTGAGCAAGGCTCGCTGTGCTGGAGCAGACAGCAAACAGAGCTGGGGTAGCAAACAGACTTGCCTCTGATAATTTCCTAGTGCTCACCAGCTTTCCACATTTGTGTGTGCAGGGAAAATAACACTGGCTGCAGTTAGAGTTCCAGAGAGAAGGCAGAAGGAAGATTTTGCTTCTCTAGTATGTCCCATCTTCACCTTTAGCTCCTTTTTCTATGTCTGTACAAAGTACTGAGTTTTATCACGTCTTACAGACTCATTGTCATGTCTGCAGACAGGTTAAAATGTGAAAGTCACAGTAGCAGCAACTTACCCAGTGCTCTTTCTTCCAAATTTTAGATGCCTCTATACTTTGAAAATGACACATGCTGCTTTAAGGCCTTTTTCAACTTAACTTGAAATAACGTAGGTTTCATTTTTGTATGAAAGCCACTTAAAAGAATTCAACATCAATGAAGCAGAAATTGTATGGAACAAATAAAGCTCTTTTTGGCAGATTATTAAATAACATCAATTTTTACAGTTGATTAGCACTATGTTATGTAGTGCAGGTGTTTGTTACACCTGTGTGCAAAAATTGCCAGGGCTCAGTGTCAGCCTTTGGGCTGATGTCACTGCCATGGTGCAGTGGCTTAGTGTTCATGTTCTGAAACGTGGCCTCAGGCTGCGCCAGGCATATTGGGAATGGGCTCATCTTCAAAACTAGAGCAATTTGTTTTCTTTCTACAGCATTTTCATCAGTTGTGTTTCTTTGTTTTATTTCAGGAGGGCTGACCATTGCTTCAGCTCATACACTTAATCCCCAACAGACTTTTTAGCAGTTTTGGTGCTGGGCAAACCCAGTGACCCATCATCACTAAAATTTGTGAGATGAAAATAAGAGCTGATATATGGGCTTATTTTGTGTGTTATTGAGAGGTAGACTTGCTAAGAGATTCTTTCAGTAACTGGGAAAAAGGCATTCAGATATTTGGTTATTAAAAATGTCACACTATTTACATAAAATAGTATTGAATTTCATAAAGTAGCTGTCTTAATAATCCACTGCACAAAGAAACATTCAAATACTTTAGTACTATTCTTTACAGAGTTTCCCTTAAGTAATCGGTTCCCACTGAACTCTTGAAAGATACCTGAATATGTAAGATTATTTCCAGTTATAGAGAGCAAGAGACAGGGATTATAGACTCCCAGCTCTGAAGAAAGTATTAGCAAGAGCTTCCTGAACCCAGAATGCAAGCCAGTGTTAGCTTCCTTTCATTTATTCCTCTTTTCTAGCCACTACTCAGCAGTCCTCTCTTCCAGTTCAGTTCTTCAGACAGAACTACCAACACATATTGATGAGGTTTCAATGAAGCACTTTTATAGTTTGCTTTCTACATTTTAAGTGTCTAGCATTCCTGTTTGTCATGCCATAATATTAAATCAATAGGACTTTACAGATGATATTTGATAATAGGATCTTAACTCACAAGCTTAAAATTTTTATTAGTGTTTATAGTGTTGGTTTGAGGTGTTTCACATAACATTTCCCTGGGCAGCTGTTAAGATTTAAATGTTTAACATATGTGGCTGTATGCACTAATGTAACACATGATTTTACCACTACTATCTGTGTGTGTTTTTAAAAAATAATAATTTCCTTGGTTTTACAAAATAACTTTCCTTTTGGAGAGGATCCTTGTAGCTGATAGGCTTTGCCTATGAAATCCCCCAGAGCAGGAGCCCTGGCTGGATGGGTGGCAAGGTCTAATGAACCTTTAACCTTTTTGTGTGTGCAAGAGATGTGGGGGACAGGCTGGAAGCTCACCATGAACTCCTGCAGGGATCTTTCATTCAAGATAAATGGCTTTTCAAACCTGGCCATTTTACAGACATGAAAGCACTTCTCCTGCAAGTTTGTGTCTATCAGACTTCTGCAGATGTGAAACTGTCAGGAGGGTTCAGTTTGTTCCTAACAGATGAGCAGAAGGTGGCAAAGGAGTTCGAATATAACTGCTAGCTGCTGGAACTGCTGTGGTCTTCTTTGCTTCCGTGTTTTTTCCTTTAAGTGCTGCCCTGTATATTATTCTTTCTATGAAAGAGGGCTCTCTAAACTCACCAATTATTCCACCCCCACCCCCCTCCCATTTTAAAATTGTTTACCCTTCTCA